TTATTGAACCTTTATGCTGCATACAGAAAACTACTATATGTTATCTTTATTGTGCCTGAATAAAAATCCTCCATTTTCACAGGATTTTACACTCATTCAATCTGTACACCAATGAAAAGTTTCTCAGAATAAAAAGAGAATAAAAAGATTATTCTTTTTAGATTGAATTCAAGATTTGACTGAGAAAAGCTAATTTTCCGAGTATGTTAATTCATACACGGCATATTGTCAGGAATGGCAGGAAACATGAACCGATGAAATAAAATGACTACTTAAAGGAGTAGTAGAGCCAAAGGTCTTTTGGCCCTCTCTCTTCTGTGGATCACATCACTCAGCTGGTCCAGACTCTGGAGGGATCCCGACTTGGAGCCATTCGTTCCAGCCCCCTGCACAGCGCAGTGCTCCAGAGAGTGCTGGAGGGGTAGAGAGCCGGTGACTTACAGTCAACACCGAGATCAGCAGTTCTTGGTCTTAGAGGTGGCGGGGGACAGATTTTTTTTTTTATTTTTTAATCTTGCATTTCTCTTTTAAAGATTTTTACAAATACACCAATTTTGCAAAAATTCTGCAAGAGACTGGTTGAACTTGAAACAGACCTAGAATGTCCCATCTACCCAACACGATCATATCATATTTCTTACATTGCACCCCTAAATGACAATGGAAATTATTACAATACAACTCTATAATACACTATACAAACATGTCTGATCACGGTATATGATCATAATACGAGGTGGTATAAAAAAGTTTCAAGGCTAGTTTCATAATATGTCAACAGATAGCAGCACAAGATTGCATGAACAGTCACAGTTAGCACCAACCTTCATAAGTCAGTGTTACAAAAGACATCGTCCTGTGTACATCGGGAGCTGTGAAACTGGTGCTATTCTGACTATGTGCATTACTACATCTGCTATTTCACCATGGACAGCAAGTCAGAACAAAGAGCAAATGTGAAATTCTGTATGAAACTGAGCAAATCTGCCACGGAGACGTTTGACATGATTCAGCAAGTTTACGGCTGCGATGAACTGTTTGAGGTGTTTTGAGTGGCATGCGTGCTTCAAGAGCAGAAGAACATCACTAGAAGATGACGAGAGATCAGGAAGACCTTCAACAAGCTCATCTCCCAAAAATGTCGAAACCATTCGGCAACTGGTGCATGATGATCGTCAGAGAACAATTCACAACATTGCTGCCATTGTCGGTGTGTCATACGGAACAGTCCAGGCAATTCTCAAGTGTGATTTGAACATGCACCGTGTTGCTGTCAAGTTAATCCCAAGGCTGATATGATCTCACTTCCGCACCCACCCTACTCTCCAGGTTTGGCTCCTGCGGACCGCGCCCTCTTCCCAAAGATTAAGATCCATCATGAAGGTCGCCATTTTGACAACATTGTGGAGATCCAGTGCGAATAGCAGAAGGTGCTTAACACGATTCGAAAAGAAGACTACAAGGATACATTCCAGAAGTGGCAGGAACTCTAGGAGAGCTGTATTGCTGTGCAAGGGGACTATTTTGAAGGTGGTAGTGTGTAAACATTGATAAATAAAGTACTTTAGCTAGTCTCGAAACTTTTTGATACCACCTCATACAATTCTATAACCCTCTATGCCTAGAAAACTACATGTCCAACTTGACCAACATACAATTCCATAATTCTCTATACATAGAACATTACACCTCCAACATGACCAACCACTGTACATAATCAAAAAGATTGTTCTATGGCACTATACATAAAACTCTATACCTCCAACAAGACTGACCACTGAACATAATAATATTCTTCAACATTCTATACCAACCTCTCTCAACCTTTTTAACACAGAGGAACCCCATGAAATAACTTTTCAGGCTCAGGGAACCCCTGCTAATATATACTATTTCTACAGGGCAATAGGTAAGCTGCTCCTTACATTTGTGGTCAGTTGGGAAGAATCCCTCCTTGCAGATAGTTAAAAAGACCATTGGTGTCAGTGGTTATTCATCTGAAAGGCAAAAGTTGCTCATTGTTAAAGGAACAACCCTGGCAACCTTTGGAGGACCTTTAGGGTTCAACAAAACCCTTGTTGAGAAAGGCTGCTCAATACATAGAATACTACATTTCCAACATGACCAGCCACTGACCATAATCATTATAATATTCTTTAGCATTCTGTGCTGTACATAGAACACTGCACCTTCAACAAGTCCGACGAATGGACATGATCATAACATCATCATAACCCTCAATACATGTAACACTTCACCTCCAACATGACTAGTTGACAATCAGAATTTTATTCTGTAATACCCTATACATAGAACACTATACCTCCAACATGACCAACTACTTGACATAATCATATTATAATTCTAAAACAATTCTGTATATAGAACACTACAACATGAACAACCACTGGACACAGTCATAACAGTATATTTCTATTACACTCTATACCAGGGGTGTCAAAGTCCATTTCATCACGGGCTGTAACAGCATTATGGTTGCCCTCAAACGGCCGGTTGTATCTGCAAGACTAGATGTCCAGAGCACCCCACCCCCCATTACATCAGATGTTAAGAATCCAACACCCTCCCTAACATCACTTAAAGGTGCAGGACTTGGCAACCATAATGCTGATACGGCCCGTGATGAAATGGAGTTTGACAACCCTGGTATAGAGTGTAATAGAATTATACTGTTATGACTGTGTCCAGTGGTTGTGTTCTATTCCCCTCTCTGCTGCCAACTTCTGAGACAAGGTGGGGGCAGAGACAAGGGGGCACCTGCAGGTGAGGTGCAAGGGCCACATGAAATGGCCTGGAGGGACGGATTCGGCCCGCGGGCCTTGTGTTTGACACCTGTGCTCTATACATACAACACTTCATCTTCAAAATGACCGACCACTGGACCTGATCATGATACCATTCAATTTTCTCATCCACACAGACACAGCACACCCATACAAACATGATCATATAACTATTCTATTTGAATCTAACCAGACATAGAACACTATACCTCTCAACCGGATTCACCAGATGTGATCATAATCCAGGTTTTGAAGCTCTCTACAAACAGAACACTACAGTCCAATTATGACGCTGTGCTTTGTGATATAAGCTGTTACAATGCCGCCATTTGTGTAGAGTTAATTTATATGGAAACTTAATTCAACTCAAACTGAACTCTACAGTGACTAGAACGGGAACTGTATATTTTGAAATGCTGTCAGACACAGAATTTCCAGTGACAAATCTTTAAATCTGTGCTTGCGCTTAAAATCGTAAATTAAAATCTAAAGGTAAATAAATGAATGTGAACAGAGTTACAGCAAAGTCTATATTTTTGCTTGATTGATTATCACGGGTATATGTGAAAGGCCATCCGCATGCAGGACATTTTGTAAATGCAAAGTGTGTGCCTTCTATTTTGTGCTGACCTAAGCAAATCCTGTAACCACAACATTAATATTGCCGACATAAATTAATGCACTGCAAGAATAAGAATTTATTTTGGAGTTAAATGAGCTAATACATTAAAAATGGAGCAGAATAAAGAAGAGGCTTGGAGAAAGCATTCTGTCACATCCCAACGTTTTATTCTACTGCATTCACTGAAAAAAGGAGCACTGAATCAGGCAATAGTGATTGCTTTCCCAAATTGGTCCAATAGAGTTGGGTCCAATTTTGTCCTTTTGGTAGGTGTCACATAAGAGTCCTTCAAAGGATATTTGTGTGGAAAAAGGCACTGACTGCTTTTTTTACATTTCCTTGGGACTCTTGGGCAAGATCTTTCCAAGTTCCTGAATTCCCAAGTCGCTCTATATACTCCGGACAATACAAAGTGGTAAACCAAAGAGATAACTTAAAACGCCAGGGAGGAGATATAGTCAGAGTAGTTACTGAGGGAAAAAAATATTTCCACCCTTAACCCAAATATCAGTTATATTGTGTAGCAATCTCTTAAAGGATCTCCTTCCTTAAAGGATTAGTCCACCCAAAAGGTGAGACTTATAGTTTTTGCCCCTGGCTTCTCATATGTCTCAAATACTCCAATAATGAGAGTTCTCTCGACTTAAAATTCCAACATTATTCCCATATTCCTGTCCAGAGAGTTTTGGGTGTTCCATACCCCTTTGTGATATCTTTGAGAGTTATAAAAAACAGTCAGGTGGCTTCATTGTCCAGCATCGACCAAGTACTGAAATATCTGTATTAACTGAACTGACACTTTAATATTTACAGTATTCTTTTTCTGGCTCACTTTTTTTAACGTCTTCTCATTGCCGTAATGCATATATGGGGCAGCAGGGCAGGTGGGCCTTAAAACATAAGTGTGGGTTTCAAAAACACCAAACATACATACTCACTCACTTAGGTAGATGCAGCATCGGTCCGGTGCCGCATCTGTCCCCTGCTGCCTCTAAGACAAAGAACTGAGTGATCAAACATTGCTTCTTCAGTGAGCCGGTGACTGTCAGTCACTGGATCTTTGCCTTGCCCCTCCAGTGCTCACTGGAGCGCCGGGCTGTGGAGGGGGTGGGAGGAACTGGCTCAGGCTCTTAGCAACTCGCTGAGAGGCTGAACCAGCTGCTGGTCCAGGCATCTGGGTAAATCCCAACATTAAAGTGCCTGGGCTGGCTGAGTGATGTGAGCTGAAAGCGGGCTAAAACAGGTCACAGGTAATCAGAATGAAGTCCACCCTTGTGATCCATAGGAGAAGTAGGGTTGAAATAGTTTTGGCCCTACGTCTCCTTTAACACCCAGCTGCTACTCAACCATTACTGACAGCTCACAGTCTCTGTAATAGGGAGATAGCTGAACAGGCTCTCAATTATGTGAGAGCCAATCACAATGATCACGTGATCAGGAAACCGTCTCCTCCATCCCTCCTGGTTAAGACCCACTTAAATGGCCACTGGTAGGTGGTGGGAAGGGGTTATTTATAAACAAGATGGTTCAGTTTTGAGCATCATCAAAATAAAATGTTGTTGTCTTGTCCACAGGTCCCCCAACCACACAACGGTGCCCTACCATTATTATGAACTGATGGGACCAGATGAGTGTACAATGTATATCTCTCATGAGCGGGGCAGAAAAGGAAGTCACCACCGCTTCATCACAGAGAAAAAAGTTTTTGCCAACTGGGCACGGACCTTTAATATCAACTTTTTCCAACCAGACTGGAAACCGGAGGCACACACTGGAAAACACTTACTTGTGAAACCAATGTTCTAAACAGAGGGCAACTGACACTCAAGATAGCAGCTATTTTGTCTCCAGTAGTATCTGTCATAAGAACTTTCCTATCAATATACTAGGAAATAGAGGTGCTCCAGGTGAATAGCGCATTTAAAGCCTGAACATTTGGGTATCCTTTTTTTTATGTCTACTACAGTTCTGTAGCCAGGTGCTGGGTATATGTTGAAGTTCTTCAAAACAGAGTTAAATTCTATCCAGTTACACACATAGGTTGGGTCTGTTCTAATGTGTACAATTCTTTATCAATAACTTCCACAGGAAAGATAAAACTGGGTGAGTCTGAGCCTTTTTCTGGAATCATCCTTGGATTATTAAAAGGAGATGTTCATTTTTAACCTAAACCCCATTAATTCACCCTCCCTAGCCCCCTAATGTAGAACCCCCCACTCTGATGCTTATGTAACTCTTTGTGACAGTGGTGGATGCCTCCAGTGTTTACCGTCCTTGGCCTGACATGCTTTAAGAGTAGAGATGTTACAAGTATGGCCCCATTCAAGCCTAGGAGAGTTAGGCATCTCAACAACATAGAAGATTTCAGGTCAAAACACTAAACACCAAAAGAGACTATAACCACCGTGGAGAGGTAAGTATCTGGAGGGGGGGGGGTGTCTAGGTTGGACTAGGCGGCTGGAGAGGGTGGGCTAGTTAAAACTTAAAATCCAACAAGTCCTCTACCTCTTCCAGCTCGCAATTTGTCTTTTAATGTCCCCCACGTGATGCCCCATGCTATAGACCAGTTAATAAACGTTCCCTCTTTGAGAACGAGCAGCGGGCACTTTTTGTGTCAGCCTTCCACCTTCAGGCTGCAGTGCCATCTATTTGATTGTGTAATCGTCAGATACAATTACATAACTAAAAATAGTAATAAATGAATATAAAAACGGAAATACATGTTCTTGCACATTTTTCACTCTAAACCCTTGTAGACATGCAAATTAGGCACAAATTTACTAACAAATTAACCTACACAAGCCGACTAATAAGGCCAGTGGATCTAGACCTTAATGGCCTTTGGTCATAAAAGTATGGCTGATTTCTGTTAAGGGTTCAGAACTCACATAGCCAATGGCTCTCCCACTTTAGAAAAAAAAAATATGAGGGCTTTAGCTCGTAACACAGAACTTCTTCATAGAGTCTCAAAAACCCAAAACGACTATACAGAAAACCTAAGTGGAAAATCGAACAAGGACCGGATCCCTCTACCGATATGAATTAATACTGGATATTCTACAGACTTACAACTGCCACACCGGCTTAAGGATTTTTATAAATGAACTGATTTCTATCTTCTAGCACTTTCACAGAGATGCACAGTCATCCTCTTACAGTGTTTGAAGAGTGTCTATTGGGTGTATGTATTGTTCGGATAACAAAATTCTTTTTCATAATATATTTTGGCTAGTGACTGATTTTACTGTAAATAAATAGTGTAAAGTTTCTCAAAACCTGGCATCAGGAATATTTCAATCTTGAAAAAAATTATTGTGAACCTCTAAACGTTTAATATTAGGAGTTGATTAAGCCATTTCTAGACAACTATGCATGGTTCAACTGACAGAACTCCACCAGTACTGGGATTTCAGAGATGGCAAAAAACAGTGAGGAGGAGGGAATCTGTCCTTAAATGGTCCTAACACCTGATATATTTTTGCATGTTACAGTCAGGTCCATAAATATTGGGACATCAACACAATTCTAACATTTTTGGCTCTATACACCACCACAATGGATTTGAAATGAAACAAACAAGATGTGCTTTAACTGCAGACTGTCAGCTTTAGTTTGAGGATATTTACATCCAAATCAGGTGAACGGTGTAGGAATTACATCAGTTTGCATATTGCCTCCCACTTGTTAAGGGACCAAAACTAATAGGACAATTGGCTTCTCAGCTGTTCCATGGCCAGGTGTGTGTTATTCCCTCATTATCCCAATTACAATGAGCAGATAAAAGGTCCAGAGTTCATTTCAAGTGTGCTATTTGCATTTGGAATCTGTTGCTGTCAACTCTCAAGATGAGATCCAAAGAGCTGTCACTATCAGTGAAGCAAGCCATCATTAGGCTGAAAAAACAAAACAAACCCATCAGAGAGATAGCAAAAACATTAGGCGTGGCCAAAACAACTGTTTGGAACATTCTTAAAAAGAAGGAACGCACCGGTGAGCTCAGCAACACCAAAAGACCCGGAAGACCATGGAAAACAAGTGTGGTGGATGACCAAAGAATTCTTTCCCTGGTGAAGAAAACACCCTTCACAACAGTTGACCAGATCAGAACACTCTCCAGGAGGTAGGTGTATGTGTGTCAAAGTCAACAATCAGGAGAAGACTTCACCAGAGTGAATACAGAGGGTTCACCACAAGATGGAAACCATTGGTGAGCCTCAAAAACAGGAAGGCCAGATTAGAGTTTGCCAAACGACATCTAAAAAAGCCTTCAAAGTTCTGGAACAACATCCTATGGACAGATGAGACCAAGATCAACTTGTACCAGAGTGATGGGAAGAGAAGAGTATGGAGAAGGAAAGGAACTGCTCATGATCCTAAGCATACCACCTCATCAGTGAAGCATGGTGGTGGTAGTGTCATGGCGTGGGCATGTATGGCTGCCAATGGAACTGGTTCTCTTGTATTTATTGATGATGTGACTGCTGACAAAAGCAGCAGGATGAATTCTGAAGTGTTTTGGGGCAATATTATCTGCTCATATTCAGCCAAATGCTTCACAACTCATTGGACGCCGCTTCACAGTGCAGATGGACAATGACCCAAAGCATACTGCAAAAGCAACCAAAGAGTTTTTTTTTAAGGGAAATAAGTGGAATGTTATGCAATGGCCAAGTCAATCACCTGACCTGAATCCGATTGAGCATGCATTTCACTTGCTGAAGACAAAACTGAAGGGAAAATGCCCCAAGAACAAGCAGGAACTGAAGACAGTTGCAGTAGAGGCCTGGCAGAGCATCACCAGGGATGAAACCCAGCGTCTGGTGATGTCTATGCGTTCCAGACTTCAGGCTGTAATTGACTGCAAAGGATTTGCAACCAAGTATTAAATAGTGAAAGTTTGATTTAGGATTATTATTCTGTCCCATTACTTTTGGTCCCTTAACAAGTGGGCGGCACATATGCAAACTGTTGTAATTCCTACACCGTTCACCTGATTTGGATGTAAATACCCTCAAATTAAAGCTGACAGTTTGCAGTTAAAGCACATCTTGTTTGTTTCATTTCAAATCCATTGTGGTGGTGTATAGAGCCAAAAATGTTAGAATTGTGTCAATGTCCCAATATTTATGGACCTGACTGTATGTTGTATGCTACGTAATGTAAGTGTAACACTAAGCCCTGGTTCTCACTGCTGGGACTTCTGGTGGGACTTGCTGTGACCTGCGACACAGAAAGTCACAAGACAAGTAAACACACATTGATTTCAATGGATGCTGGTTTAATTGCTGCAACTCAAGTCACAGCAACAAAAGAAAATGGCTCCTGAACTACTATTCTGCATCTTTGGTGCGACATGAGTGCCATAGACTGCAATGTTAAAAATCACAAAAGTCGCAAGGTACTTGAATCTTTGTCTTTTTTTTATGACTCTTGTTGCCAATTTTTAGTGTTTTTTTAAGCCAAAGTTGTAAAACATCAAAGTCACCTTGAAGTTGCATCAAGTCACAATGCAAAGTCGTACGACTTTGGGGTTGCAGCAGGATGAACCGAGCCTTACAGGTGTTTTTTACCTCCCACAGATATCAGTAACTCCCTGGGAAATGTCTTCATCTTTCTTCCTCACTAGGCCTGTGCCATCTTTGTCCTGGCACTACCCAGGATCAGCATCTACTTCCTGAACTGCAATATCAGCCAGGGCTGCTGTTAGAAACCATTGGGTCCCATACAGCCAACTTGACAGCCCCCCTTCCCCCCAAAAGACACTGTTTACTATGCTTCAGTTATGAATGAACACAGTGAGTGATCGGTACCGATGTGTTCATTCGGGAAAGGAAGGGGCTGGTAAATGTGACATATTTACAGGACCCTTTCCCCACTCTCCATGCTGAAGGATCCTATTCTGTGCTTGCAGATGCCGATGGGACGGAAAGGAAGGAAGCTGACAGCACTCTGGGGGTGGGGGCACACAGGGGGACCTGGGCTGCAAGGGGAAATGTATGGTGCACAGGGAGGGTGATGGGTGTGGCGGGGGAAATTACTGGAACTGATCCCCTGTATGGCTTTCTATGCAGCAGCTAAATGCCAGGGAGATGGTGAGGAGAAGAGGCCAGCTTTCAGCTGCTGCAGAGTGCCATAGAGGGGATCAGTTCCGTAATTGCCCCCTCACTGTGCCGATCACCCTCCCTGTCCACAACCAATTCACCATGCTGCCTGGCCCCTCCTGCTGGCCTGGGCCCCGTACAGAAGGACTGGTGGTACCCCCTTATCCACGGCCCTGATATCAGCTCAGAGATGACACAATGATGAAAACCCAAGTGTCTGTGCATTAGCCTTTTCTTGATTGCTACACACCTCGTCTTACACCTATCAGCCCCCTTACAGTCTCTCAAATAGTGACTTGCTATAAAGGTACAGTGTTACAGTCAGAGTGGGAAGGGAGACCGAGGGATGATTCCTCTTGTCTGCAGCAGACGGATGACATCAACTTTTCAGAATGTATCTCTCAGTCCAGCCAGTCATGTTCATATAGCTCAAGGACTTCTTAAAAGTTAAAACCAACAAGGCATTCCATGTGGCTCAAAATTCACAGTGCAACAATTCCCACTCAACATGTTTCGCCAATTTCTTGGCTTCTTCAGGAGATTTACAGATTATTGCATATAATTGCCACAGGTGTGTTTTCATTCAAAGAAACAGTGTGTAAGAGAGCAAGCACCCATTCTCTTATCCTCAAGAGGGTCCAAATGAGCCAAAAGAGGGAAAGGAAGCTGCAACCCACAAATGCGGACTTCCTTGCTATCGATCAC